ACTCTTTCCTGCCTATGCAGGGGGTCAGACTCGATGATCTATTGAGGTCCCTTCCGACCCTAACATCTATGAATCTATGAACATCTTATGATCCCTGGTGAGTGAGGAGATAGTGAAGCTCCCTGCTTCACATTGAAATTGATCTCCCTGTGCAAGCAACAAATAGTTTTCTACTGAACCCAACACAGGCCACTCAATCAGGAGCTCAGCTTGGTATCTGCTTTTATTTCCCCATGCTGTGTCAACAGGAAGTGTGCTATAGACGGCACATCAGAGGTCTGTGAAACAGAAGCCTGCTGTGTAGCAGGAGAATTGTAAAGTAATAAAATCTACCATAATGCTTTTTTGTGGAGGGAAATGTACACATGTTGTGCAGGGCAGGAAGTTAAAATGAATATCCCCAAATATGGTGAAGAGATTCTAAGGCTTTCTGTAATGTTTCTGCTGGAGAATCCTCGTGACTTTTTTCCCTTTGTTGTAAGAAACAGCACTGCTGCAAAATGCATTGTCACTTTTCAGGGTCAGCAAAATTTGCTAATTAGATGTGGGAGAGTCTCATCCTGAGGTTCCACATACAAAAGAATTTCTGGCTGCTTTTAGATCCATTTGATCTGAAGTCTTACAGGGCAGTACTTGCTACCACAGGCATGAGTACAACAAAAAGCACTGATTTGAGCAGTAAAAAACCTTTAGCCAGTTTGGATTAGAATAGCTCTCCACTGCTTAGAGCACTGGACTGGGATGCAGAATACTGTGCTCCCATTTGTACTGCTGGCCTGCTTAGGGCCACTTCTATTTCACCTTTTAATGGCTGTATTTTCCCTCCTGCCCTTCCCCTTCTCTGTATGGATTGTAGACCCTACTGGGCAGAGCCTCTCTCCTTTAGGTTTGTTCAGCAAAATGGAGTCCTAAACATGACTGAGGGTGCTTGGCCTCTCATATAATTCTGTCTCCCCATACCAAGCGATATCATTGGGGCATTTCATCCATGACTAAGCTTTGCAAAGCTTCATCCCTCTTTGTTCTAGGCTGTCTTTCCTGAGACTGTTAGACCACTTCTGAAAGAGTAACCAGAGTAACATGTACACCAGGGGAACCTATGCTGACCTTAGTGTGGTGGCAGTGCTACTTTACAGACTTCTGGGTGTTGCTTGAGGATTTACTGTAAAAGCAAGGGCTTCAATAAAATCCTGTGCTGCTTTTGTGCAAGTAGGGCCTGGCTCCCTAGACTGCAGAAACATCAATATACATAATCTTCACAAAAGCCCTGTGGCAGGTGTACGTCCTTTCCCTTAGAAGGAAACTTGGCGTGTGGGCTTGATAATGCATACCTGTTCTCTTGCAGGGTACTACAGTGCGGTGAGGCTTACTGAATATCATTGTTGTTCAAATGAATCTGCCTGCATAGGTTTCTGAAGCCAGTAGGCTATACTTTCTGTGTGAGATGAGGGGCATTGGAGCTTTAAGTCCATTCTGTCTCTTTGGTTGTAGAAGAATCCCCTCCATGTTTTGCACGTAGTGCTTATTGCTGTCTGATGCTTCCCACTCACTTGGACCTTTGCCGACCCATTGGATAAGATATTTTATAAATTGCCTTATGTTCTGAAAGCAGCTTCCCTACTCATGAATGTAGCTACATTTTGCTCATCAAGACATGGTGCAGAGTTGAAATTGCTTTTCCCTGTTTGGAAAAATGTTGCCAATACTAAGGTCACAATGCGAGAGTTCCTAGCAAGGGATGCATTAGTGCTGCTTTGAACCCAAAAAAGCCCACTGCTTTGCATCTGTTGTGCGAGACATGTAGACATTTAAACTTTTTGTGAGTGGATGGAGACAGAACCTAAAGGGTAGTTGAGGTTGGTAAGAGTATAACCTTCCGATGAACTAATTCAAATAAAGGTCATTTGCTATTGTGTCTGCACCCGCTCACCTCTGAAGGCAGATCAAGGTAAGGGTAGAAATCGACGAACAAAGAAGTTGGAAAATAATGATAAGGATTTAGACATGTAAAGCCATGTGTAAAGTGATTTATGAAAAGGTGACTGTGCATTTCATGGGCTTGGCACAGACTAAATTGACTTAGTGTTGCTTTGCTGGGATTGTGAAAGGTAGGTCGTTACTTTTTCTGTTTCTTACATGCTGCATCCTTCACTGCTTTTGCTGCCTGCGCCAGTTGGAATAAAGCTAGCATAGCTAGCAGTTTGTGCCCTGGATTACCATGAAATCACAACTTTAACCTGGTACCGCCTAGTGGAGCTGGAAGCTGGTGAAGGATGTTAGCAGCCTTCCTTTGTGCAGTGTCTCATGCTGTGTTACTTATTCTGATGTGATGAGATTTGTGCATCTTTGCTCTATGCAGCTATACATAGAAAACAAAAGGAATCAATTGCCTTTGTGATTTTTATGGCTTGGGTATGTTTCTTCAATTTAAACTAGAAACATATTCATTCTCTATTTTTGCTGTTGCTCAAAAGGAGAGCGTTGTTAATTAACATTAAGAAATGAGATGCATTTTTATTACAGATCTTAGATGGATTCTGCAGTGTGTGATGGCTCTAATTGCCATAGGACGCAGGGTCAGGTGTCAGTGGCCCCAGCAGTACTGGGGTACCTACAGTCCATTAGGAAAGTGTTACTTTTTGAATAGCAACAATCTTTGTTGAATTTGCAGCCCAGTTTGTAGTGGTGTTTTGTTTAAGACTGTCTGATAGAAATGCCTCTCTGCATTCTTTTCTACCTCAAATGCAGTCTCTCACTAGCTGACCCACTTGGAGACAGAGTGTTTGTGGAGTCTTTCTGTTTTTGTGGTGTCTAGTATAAGGTAATTGTGTAGCTGTCCATAGGTAATGCAGTATCAGGACACTTCTGCATGATTGCCACTGTAGCAATATAACATAGTGGGCGAGTCTACACAAGACGCTACTGCGCAGTAGCATTGGCGGGCACTGTGATGTGATGCTACCGTGCAGTCCGCTGCTCGTGTAGACGGGGCCAGCATCTAGCTCTGTCCATGCCAGTAAAACAACTGGTTTTGATAGGGTATTCAAATAATGCCTGGCTTTGAAGCATCTTAGAAAATCAGATGCCATGCTGTAAATTTTAACACACGTTTTCTTTGGACAATTGCAGAGTGAATTTTTTTTGGCAGAAAAGACTGACTTAAGATAGTGTATTGCATGGTGTTAACGATCGCATTTAAAATGCATTTAGCCTTAAAAACTAAATTGGAAGGAAGGAAAGAACGAAGAAGCTGAAGCAGGGTACCCCAAGTGAAAAACGTGGCTCTTTTGAATATTCATTACCATAAGAGCAGTCAGTAGGTTATCAGCTAGAGCCAGATGCCCTGACATTCATTCAGGGGGGAGAGAGGATTATTCATGAGTGCTTGATGGAGCTACAATAATTCTGCTGAATATTAATGTTTTTCTTTTTTTTTTTCTTTTCCTTTTTTTTAGGTATATACACTCCAGAGCCACTTTCCAATTTCTGGTGGGCTCTCTTGTCTACTGGGCTTATGTTTGTGTATCATTTTAGCATTTTACAGATCCTGGGACTGGTAAGTAAATGTGTATTTAATTGTTCTCATGTATTACTCATAATATAAAGATGCTGGCTTTTCATAGTGTTTAGGTGCAAATGGACATCTAATTTGCATGGACAATTATTGCTGTTATGTGCACAAATTAGTAATTGCACATGCTAATGAGGTTATTTGCATATCAGTCACTGCATTTGCACAGTTGTGGTAACTTTGTATAAATCGGGCACGAGCGCTTTGAATTCAAGTCTTGCTTAGCTAAATGCTGAAAATTTGGCATATTTGTGTTGAACGTTAGGTAACAGGTTTATCTCCTTTGTTTGCCGTGGGGATTAAAAGATGCTCTCTTTATTTCTCTGCCTCAGTGGAACACAAAATAATGCTGCTTTTGAAATATGTCCATTTTCCTAGGTCACAGAAGTGAACTTGAACAACATGCTATGTCCAGCCATCTCCGATCCTTTCTACGGGCCGTGGTATCGAATCTGGGCATCTGGACACCAGACTATCATGACTATGGTTCATGGGAAGCTTGTAATCTTGTTGTTCCACAGTGCTGTCCCCATCTTTAAATATAGTGTGGATTTGCTTAGACTCCCAGCTAAGAAAATAGACTGACATTTCTCTCTGGAGAGTAGCACATACAGGAAGGCGAGACCTGCATTCATACTGGAAAAGAAAGAGGAAAATGAAAGGACAGTGTGTTTAATATCCCTTTGTCCCCATACAGTTTTTTTTCCTTGTAGAGATCTCTGTAATAGTGTGAAGGTTTTCTTGCAGCAGCTCTGTTTCACTGCCTGTAGCCAATGGCAAAATTAGTGGCCTTATTCTGGAAGAGGTCAGTATTTTTCTTATACACTTTTTTGCAGGTGACAATGGAACCTCACTATTCCCTGCTTCACAGTGCCCCAAATGGGCAAATCTGTCCATCTTCCAATACAGAGAGTGGTACTGCTACCTCGTTAAAGATGTTGCCATTTTTACTAAACATCCTTCAGCACTTGTATTGATCACCTGAAGAAACAAAGCTAAATTACAGTTGAACTGAAATGAACATGGAATGTTTCAAACTCATCACCCTGGCTTACATTGTGTTTGAATTTTGTAAGTTGGCTCTTTATTGAAGCAATGTATTGAAGCCTGTTCAAAAGGGTGAATTAGTGAGGTTCTATTGTGTTTGTTTAGGCTGGTTGAAGAATGGGGAACAATAACTGGTTCCTTTTTTTTTTTTTTTTTTTTAATTGGACTACTTGATTCTCAGCTACCCTGGGGTGGTGTTTGGCTGTTCATCACATCTAACAGCTATGGTAATGCTTTGATTTGTATGAATGAAAAAGCTGAAGAGGAAATTATTAAAAAAAAAAAAAAAAAAAAAAAAGGTGTAAGCTATTGGGGGACCCAGTATTCTCAGCTGCCTGTGAACAGATTGCAGTAGGTGTTCAAGAGAGACTGTCAGCTGAAACGGCTTGGATGGAGAGAGAAATTACAAAACTTCACTTAGAGAATCTGAAATTTTACTTTAGATTTTTAGTTTTGAATGTTTCCTTCCCTGTGCCTGTATTAAGCAGCATTGTACTAGGCTGTGAGGAACAATGTAAAACTGTTCTGGACTTGCTAATAGCCTACATACTTCTTATGTAAAGATGCAAGCTAAATTGGTATACAGGGTTTGACCAAATCACTCCAGCTCCCTAGTGTAGATAGTTTTACCTGTATGAAGGTGTTTATACCAGTCTTTTTCAGTTATAGTAACTGTGCTAACATGTTGCATTGATTTTTTTTTTTTTTTAAACTAAATGTACTTGTTTGCTTGCACAGTTCTAAACTAGAGAGGCTACAACCAGGAACAGTATAACCAGTGTAAGAAGTAAAATGTGTGTCTCACTTTTCTAAAAGTGCAGCAATAAGAAGCTGCACAGATGAGTCGGCAAGTGGTAAATCTTGACAAGGGTTTCCTTAATTTTTGAAGTCTCAGGTTGTCCCTGCAGGCTGTTTTCTCAGTGTTGTCACAGACTATAGCAGAAAGCTATCTTTTTTTTTTTTAGATTCTTTGCGTTGCATTGCCATAGCTGTGACTGTGCAAGATGCCACCAACTCTTCCTTCAACTGAGTTGCTCTGCAGGCATGTTCAGAAGTTAAGGTACAGCCATGTTATACCTCAAGAAGTAAGAGTTACAAACTTACTCTGATTTTTACAAGGGCAGGTAGAGGAAAGGGTGGACAGTGGACTTCAAATATTTTTACTCCACTTGATTAAAAAGTGAATGTTTTGCAGCTGATTTTAGCAGTGTCCTGCCCACCTGTATTGTGATCTCCAAGCCCCTTTCTGGATTCCCTCTGTGCCTGGCTTTGTGTGCATTATATACATGGTAAAGACCCTCTACTACCACAACTCAATAAAAGGAGATTTATGTAGGCTGTCCAACCACAATTGTGCAGCTAAGTTTCTATTACCGTGACCTGCAAAATGCACATTCCAACTCCCTCTAGGGAAAGCTGAGCCCTGGATAGTGGCAAGAGGGTCCTGCTTCAGTGTGCCTGGCACTGTGGACACTTAAGTCGATGCTTAATTTGACTCTGAGTAGTCTTACTGTTAGTCGTACAAAGATAGGCATGTGCTGTTTGTTTGCAGCAATAGGTTCTTCAGAGAGATGGGACAGCAGCAGTATTTCAAAGCCTAAATCCTTCAGCTGAAGAGCACTTAACTCCCACTGAAGGTTTGCCATTTCCTTGAGCAGGAGGGCAAGTTCCATGCAGGCTGCCCTCAGGTTGCAGGCTCCTACAATAGTGTTGGCGGCTCAATAGTGCCCCTTACTTGAATAAGCTTGATCTCCTAGGATCCTCTGGGTGAAAGCATACAAAACTGCCTCCCATCCCTCAGCTATTAAGGTTATCTTGGCTTATTTATCTACCTAGCAGTCCATTGAGAGAGACCTTGGGCCAGAATCAACCTGTTATAACTACAGTGAAGTGTGTTTAGAGCCTCACAAGGGATGCTTTGACCTGTCTCTTGAAATCATTTGTTTTTTGATCATCTTACCTTGCACCTTCCTAACCCATTTTTACCAAAAAATATATATATTGCAGCTGCTTTTGACAGGCAAACTCAGACCAGCAGTCTCTCATTTTTTACTACAGCATTGTCTACCTGCCAACATGAGCCTCAGGGTGTGCTAGATAAGCACAGCAACAGATGCCCGATGCTGACGCCTATGGTCAAATAATGCGACTGCTAGAAGTTTTCAGCTGCACAGCTCAGGAAGCCCAACCACAAGACAGGTCAGAGTGCAGAATTTCTAGCTCTTCTGGCAAATTGAACAATTCAGGAACAGGCAGCTTGGAGTTTGTTCCTTTAAAACTGGGAAACACTCAAGTGCATTGGCACCTGCCCCCAGTAGGCTGCCCAGGCCAGTTTCTGAAAAGGAGGAGACTGTGCTGGGGGAACACAGCCTCTCATTTGTTTGGTGCTGGTGTGGAAGGGGGGTAACTTTCCTTCCTAGCAGTCTTGCTGTCTGAGTGAGATAACTTTGCCTTCACTAGCTTGCACATGCCAAGTCACTCACAGTGTCCAGGAAAAATCAGTTTTAGGACTGAGCGCCAGCAGACTGCACACGCCGAAAAATGCATTCCAGTGCCCAGATCTTCACTAGCAGGGAGATCATTCCTGATTTTTCTTTAACATGACAGGAGTCAGAACTGTGTGGTAGAGTTAAAGCACCATGGCATGGAGGGAGCCAGAACAGACGCAAGCAACTGTGCTGGTCTGTCAATGGAAGAGAGATCCCAAACTAAGCCTCACGTTACTTAGTATTCTTACTTTAAGGGTGTTGTGTTCTTCAGTGGTAAAGTCACGTGTGTACATTGCGGGCTCTCTGCTGAATGCTCTGCTAAATTACATCTCAGAAAACTAGTGCAGTTGAATTGAATTCATTCCGAGGGACCTGGGGATCTTTCCAAAGCAGCGTTCTCCAGTGGTTAGGTGGGCCGTTCCAAGCACACCAGACTCTGCCCTTTTCTCTTGTGTATTCTACAGAAGCCATTAGTAGTTGTAAAAATCATAAAGGGAATAGCGTAACACTTCTGCAGCACCATAATGGCTGGCAGTAGCTGTGGACATTAAGGTTTGGGTGCCAAGGCTTCCAGCTGTGCAGAAGATGTTGAGTGCTGTTTTTTTCCAAAGGTTTAGACGCACCTGTGGGTGTGGTGTTTGAGCCATGAATCCATTTCTTGACTTTCTTCCATGTAACCAAAGAGGAATTTGCATCTTGTTTCTCTTTCTTAGGCTGAAGATCTAACAGCATGTAGTCATGCTTAAAAGCATACATACATCTCAATGGATGGAAGGCCATTGCCCCTGAACACACTTCTAGCTAGGTTTTGGTTTGACTTCTTTTAGTGCTTGAGAAATGCTCATTGGCCAAGGCCATTTTGCTGTTAAGCAGATGCCACCTTGTTGAAGCTGAGGCATGAGCAGTCGGTTCATTTGTGCACTTTAAGGTTTTAGAGTACCTCATTGTAGTGGTATTACCCCTCTGTCTGTGGCCTCAATCAGGGTTTTGATATTTCTGTATATTTGATAACTGAATGTTTTGTAAATCCTATCTGTGTTTCTCTTTCAGAAACAGCTATTTGCAACTGTTGAAGTACTTGATTTTTATGTCCCATGTTGTGTCTGAAACCACAGGCATTAGTTTCCTGTACATTTGTAGCTACATAGAAGTCAGATGTGCAGTTTTTTGCTGTTGCAGTTGTTTCCAGTTGCATTTGTTGTGTTATTAGAGGTGAGCTTTTCAGAAATAGTGGGGTTTTGGTTTGTTGTTGATTTTTTAGGTGGGTGACAAAAGAATTGTATAAAAAGTAAAGAAGTGACCTTTGGAAAGTGTCATTTTAGTAGTGCATAACAAAGCTCTGAGATCAGTAAGGCCAAAAATTGGAAGGAGGTGTCTGATATTAGCCCCTATGTGGAAGGTAGGTTCATTAAGGCAGAGAAGACTACTTCATTTTGTGTTTTTGCTCTCATTACAGTGACAAGATGCATAATAAATATCAGTTCTTTTGTGAGCTTGTACTCAAGGTGATATTGCTGTACATCTGTTTTGTTGCTTCGAGTGTCATTTAGTTAAAGCCAAGCTGTTTATAAAATGGTTTTTATTTTTCTTCAGGGTCAATTTTGTACTTTTTTTTTATTTCTGCATTTACTGAGTCATTATCTCAATGCTGCAGAGAACACAGCAGGCAGAGCAGTGAGCACACCCACAGTGTTATCAACAGCCACGCTGTGCCAGGGAGCTGGAATCGCTGCATGCACTGAGCTGAGGCACACAGCTGTCTTTGGAAATCGGTGGTTCCAGTTGCCCAGCCCTCTGTCCAAGCACCGCGTTATCTGGGTGCAGAGGGGAGTGGTGGCGGCAGGAATTGATGTGGGGGGTTTGCTGCCATATCTGCTGCTAGTTCTGAGTAATTTGTAAGTGTGATCTAAATTTTGTAAACTTTTTAATGTGCTAAAAACTTGGTGATAATTGCTAAGAAGGGGTAATTTGTGTACCTGTACTCCTTGTTGGTCTCTACATGAGGTCCAATTCACTGGTCTAATAGTTGTTAAATCTTTAATGAAAAGAATAAATACATTCTAACGTACATGGAGCTGTTCTGTCGTCATTCTCACCACTCCAAATCCTGACCCTGCCATCCAGGTGAGACCAGTCGCTGCCAAGAAATTGACAGTCGCCTCCAAGTTGGGCCCTGGTTAACACTCGAGCACAAAGGAAAGTGGAGAAAACAAATGTACTTTTAAAAACAGTCATCTTGCTAGCTATGTTCTTACCTCACTGCCTGTGCATTGAAATGGATACAGCATTCTTCCTGACACGGTGCACTGGGTTTTCTTCTTTTTTTCCCTGCACTGTACTGCCAGAAGAACAGGAACAAAACATGCACAGATGATTTAAGCCCTAAAAGATTTTCTTCAGAAAGTCATGAACAGGTCCTTAGCAGCAGTACTTGTCCTACTGCATCTGAAAAGCAGTGAAGAGTTAAGCACTAACAGATAGCAATTGTCATGTAGCAGCAATTAGCCTCAACATGTGAAAAAAGTGGCCTCACACTGTGTTTCTATACACATACCAGCAGACTTTTAATTGCAAAAGTTTTTTAGTGACTTGATTTCAGTGCCATGAACTAGTTAGCTCTGTGACAAGCTATTGCTACACGCTCTTCAAGGATGTTCATGGAAAAGTATTAAATTATGTGCATGCATATTGGCAACCTCAGTGCATGAAAGCTGTGGGGTTTCATCTAAACAAGGTACAGAATCAATACTGTGTCTTCAGTGGCTATTACAATACAGAGAAACCACTGGAGCTAATGACTGCAAAGTGGGGCATAGGCCAAAATCTGTTGAAGTGATTTGTGATTTTGAGGCAAAAAATAAACCAGAAATCTGTTTTGCTTAATTTTGTTCCTTTTTTGTTTTTTTTATCATCTAGTTGTTTGCAGGTCTAATAGTGACCTGATTGTATTGGTTATGCTTGTCCTTGGTACTAGCTGTCAGTATCAAGGTCTGTCACTCAGAAAATGGAGCCACAGCTGATGCTGCTACATATTCCTGGGGTGCAAATTAAGGGGGAGCTTGGGAGGGGACTGAGCCCCCAATTAAAATTTTAAAATAATAATGGGGGGGGGTCTCCTTCAATTTGGTGGACTTCTTAATCAATTAACCAGTTACATTTTTTTGCAGGCCCCACCCCACAAAAGTCAAAGTACAATTCAAACCCTGCATATTTCTTTTCCCTAATCTGAAACTAGTTTTTCAGTCTATGAAGCACCACACTCCTTTAACGGCACCTCAGACATCCTTCTGTCAAGTCTCAAGATGTAAACTTCTGAGAGCTGGTTACAGGTAGTTTATCTGAATACAGATCAGAGATTTCTGTCCTAACTCTCGTTTCTTTTCAGGGGTAGAGTTCCTGCTTGATGCTGTTAGACTTTGGACGGCACTAATGAAATACTGAAAGATAGTTACTTATTCATACATTTTTCCTGTTCCAGAGTGAAGGAAAAATCTTTATATCTGGGTTTGTCCCTCCTTATTGCAAACAAGCTTCCAGCAGGTGGAGCAGTTCAGAGACCTGACTGCCCGTCTAACTCTTGAGGCTGTTGCTCAAGCTGAGAAGATTAAAGCTTTCTTAGAAGGCTAAGCTACTGCAGGTTACCTCCGATAGAGAGAGACTAGGAGCAGGCACATGGACGGGTCCTGTAGGACACCTGATGTGATATAGGCTTCCTCCCCCTTTTTTCTTGTAATTAGTTTGTCCAGACCCTCACTATGTTCTGATGGATCCAAATTTTAGAGCGATTAGCACCCAGGGCAGGAGACTTTCCTTAGTTACCTATACTCCATTATTGGATAAAAAAATCAAAATGTTTACAGCAAAGTTAGATTCTAACACCAAAGAATCTCTTCATTTCTTCTTTATAATGTCCCACCAAAAAGGGAAGGTTTGGACTACTTCCCCTCCCATAGATGTTTCATGCAAAACACAACACACTGTTTTGGGATGTCATGGAGTGCCCGTTTTAAAAAAAAAAAAGGATACAAACAAGTCAGTCAAGTTCACTGTTCTCTCAGGAGAACACCGGGGCTGTGGTTGTTACGCCTGGCAAGTGGCCAGGAGTAAAATCGGTCTTGACGACGTGGTAACGAAACAAAAAACTGGCACAAGAGAAAAATGGGCTCTTAGTGGAGCATTCCCCCCCCCACCCCAATCCTGTTCATTAATCTTCTCCTTTCTTTGCTTACTGGCTGAAGGGCTTTAATGGAGGAAACCCATAGAAGTCCTAGAACCTTAGAAGTTTTAGGAAAAAACACTTTTAAACAAGTTTTCAGCATATTCTCTCAGCTGTACACTAAGCAGCCACAAAAAACCCACATAAATGAAGCACTATGGGCATTTATATATGTGCTCAGGAAGGCAGGGGAGGGTGCTTTAATTAGCAAGCCATACTAATTAAAAGCACCTGTAATGCTCAGGTATCAATATCCCCGTGCTGAAAGAATGGCAGTGAGGCACTTTGAAACCAAAGCTTGTTTGATGAGCTTTAGTTCACAGCACCCCACCACCATTTTTCAGTACAGGGATGCTAATGCTCATGATACTGGAGGCGCTAATGCACATTTCCACGCTCAAGCAGACTCGATTGATCGAGTCTGCTCCAACACGTTGGATTTACAGTGTGCTGGAGTGGCCTCCCTGCATGTGTAGAAATGCCCTATTTGTTCCACCAGAGAGTGGCCACAAGCCTATCGAGTGAGCCCTCCTAAAATGTTGGGAATCTCTCAAGCCTACCAAACTGACTGAACTTATTCATCTGGGAAAGCATGGAAACCTTTTCCCAGATCACTCAACTATTCCTAAACCCATATCAGGTTCTTGTCAAGGATTAATTTTATGTAAACAGAATTTGAATGGATTTACAAAACTGGAGCTTGAATTGGAGTCTAGTTTTAGCTGCAGCAGGGAATGACCATGAGCTTACGTACAGTTTTTCTAGTTGAACCAGTCTTATGGGGACAAAAATTGGTGAAAGCCTGAGAATTGCATCACCTGGGAAAAATTACACACAAATATTCCAGACCAGCAAGGGTGCCCACATTAGTGCCCATAAACTTGCTAAGAGTTAAGCACAGGAGAAATATTCTCTCTCTCTCTCTTAACACAGCAGCCAGAGTCTGAAAGGATTAGAAAAAGCATGAACATGCTCCAAAGCTCCTATGACCTAGGTCTCCAGCAGACAAACTCAGTCAAAAACCCATTATGAGGAGCTCTCATTTCCCTTGATTTGGAGACAAAGTAGGATTGTTGCTCTCTGTGAACCCCAAGGCCAACTAATTTCTCTCAATCCTTTGAAAAGCCCACATTAGAACAGGAACTACATAAACTTTATGGACTACTCGTATTGGGAAAGGTAAAAATCTGTCAGGTTCTGGACTAAGAACAAATAGCACCTTTTGTCAGTGTTCGTTGTTCAGCTTAATCATTTGACTTGGGGACTGCTCTTGAGTTCAAATATTCAATGTTACCTACCTTATGTTGCCAATTATTTAGAACAGACTGCCCTTAATGGGGATTTAGGAAAGAGTCTGCATACAATGAGCATGACTTTTAAGTAATCAAATGTTCTGCTTCAGGAATAAAGGTATATCCCTGGCTTAGTTTAGATTTTTAATTTTATCCTTAAAGTGTAAGTATGCCAGAGAAGTTCTTCCTTTGGTTTCAGAGGCAAGCTGCTATCAGAATCTGTGAGGTGACCACTTTGCCTGGAATTGAATGGGACCTAAGCTAAGCACTTTTAGTGAGGCACGAATAAGCCGGTGCCTAAGTTTAGACACTACAAAGGTAACTAGGCAAGCTTGTAGAGCACAGAGGAATATCATTTGTACAGGAACTCTACATTTACTTGCACAATCCTGAAGCACAGATGGTTGCTTGTTTCCACAACTTGTGTACACACCTCCTCTCTCAGCCATGGAACATGACCAAACTGTTTAAGGTTTACCTGGTACATCGTGCACTACACTCTGTGAAATAAACCTGGTAACGAACTAGGAAATAAACAAAGTAGCATTAATTCCTTTAGGTAATACTTCAGGTGCAGCAGAATATTCACTTTGCTGTGTGTATTTCTTTATTCAGCTTTCTATTGCTTGACACTGAGTCACGTGTTCCTAAAATATATTAAATGAAAGGAGAAAGAGCACTGCCAGTCATACCAGTAGGACTGGTTTTGCAACACAAGCTTGTTGAAAAGAGCGGAAGCCCTAATAACTAAGGGCCTGATTTTCAATTTGATTCAAAGTGTTTAAAGTCAAGGAGGAGGAAGACCGTTATTCTCAGGTCTGAGCCTAGAACTGAAATTGAAATTGAAATGCTGACAACTTTTACCAGTGTAGCAGGGCAACTCTAGACTTACCACAGAGACGGTACAATCTGCACGTATCCAGACAAGTAAGTTTTGTCTCAAGTCCTTACTGGAACCCAACTTCAAAACACCAACGCAGCAACAGTTCACGCAAAGTAAAGAAACATGAACAAGGAATGGCGATTCTTTTTCCTTATTTTATTGGGTAAATGATTTAAAAGGTAATAACAATAGTGTTAAAACTACTACAATATCTTTCCACAGCCATATCTCACAGACCCACAGATAACCTTCTATAGAATTTTTTTTTTTGCTTTTTCCTCATTTTTATCTTTTTTAAGCTGTACTTATATTAAAATGCCCATTTCAACAGTTTCTTCACACTAATAGCAATTAAATGTGGAAGGAAGGAGGATCTAGTTAAAAGGAAGGGGTTTCAGGTAATCTGCAATATTATTGTAATCAATAATCAAGTTAGAAGGAAGGAAAAAAAATAGGGGCCTTACAAGCTACTCCAGGTAGCTCTCAGCCCGTTCGGCACGTCACCATTGCATTCCAGGTAACTCATTATGCTGGTGAACAATGCAACGTAATCTTTTTCATAACATATAAAACACTAAAATAACTTAGAAACTAGATCCAAATATTTTGAAAAGAATCAACTTTGATATACAAAAACAGTCATAAGTTGTTACAAAAGTTCCAAACAAAAGTTTGTTTTCTCAGTGCGTTTATGTACCAGCGCAGTTACTGGGTCCAGAGCAAAGAAAGAGGTTTTTATTTTTTTTTCTTTAACAGTAATAAAAAACGAGGAAAACGTATCTTTGTATATAAAGAATCACTGCTGGTCTTAAGAATAAATGTAACCAGAAACCCTTAAATCTGAGAGGCACACTTTGGGTTTCTTATTTATTTATTTTCAACATAAAAGGAAAGTCACCAGTTTATTTACCTGGAGGAAGTCCTCAGACTCCTCAAATAAACTTAATTCAATTAACATCACTAGCAAAAATCAGTTAGAAACTGTACAAAAATAAAAAAGGTAACCCATTGAATCCTGCAGGGCGTTCGTAAGGACTGGAAGGCAGGCTTAGGAGCAGCATTGGGCATGGCTGGAGGCTTCTTTGGTTCGATCTAACACACACAAGAGATGTAATCTACTCCAGACGACAATTTTAAAAACCCGCACGTTTGAAGACAAGTAAAGAGGTCAATATACAAACATCAGGGTGTGCCACTGTATTCGATTGCCTTGATTTAATTGTGCAGAACAGATCAAACTCTCGAGTGTGCCCTCCTGCTGCTATGACCAGCGGTGGGGTGGAGGTGGCGGGATGTGTCAGTGCTGCAGCACAGTCTGGGCAGAAGGAAGGCCACTTGAAGCATGACTGAGCAAGAGTTGTACGTTAGCTGGAGGGGCAGCTCCGGCTAACGCACTTACAGCAATGGTTCCAAGGAGAAAGCTTTAAAGCAACAATTTGAAAACCACTTCATGAAATAAGGCAAACACAGATCACTGCTCGTCTTCAGCTAAAACATTAACTCATAACCAGCTATGTGGTTGCATTTAACTTTGCAGAAAGTACCCAAAATTAAAATCTTCCCGCTAAGCCCTGGGCTGGGCTAGCAGTACATGCAAGCTAGAGTTACAGTTGTGAACTAGATTTCAAAATGCTATTCTTGATCAGATTTAAGTAAACAGACCTATTCTGTCCCAGTGCATCACACTGAAATGTATGTGTGTTTTGTACAAATAAACCCACAGTTACATAAGAAACAATCCATAGCATTCTCGGCACTTACATACCGAGGAGGTAGGTGCCCTAGAAACACTGTAGAGAGACTGATTATTCTAAGCATAAAAAAAAAAAAAAAAAAAGAGAAACCAGTATATTTTTGTGCATCTTAAACGAAGCTGATTGACCATGTTATCTGTAACAGATTTTTAAACGAATGATACAGAACTCTGGTCCAGAAGGGTCTGGCATTAATCCATTTGAAGCACACCTTCACAGTTTGTATACAGCCTTTGAAATATTTTTGAAGCAACAGCTACTGAAATATAGACACAAATGCATTGTGCATTATGCTGTGTACAAAAAGGAGACAAAAACTATCCTTTTTTTCCCCCCCCAAACCATGGTGGGAAGTATTGCTGACCTTGTCCTTCAAAGCCTGCAGGATTGTTTATTTCATCAGTATATCATTATTACACTGGTAAGAAATTCTGTATAACATCTGCATATATCGAGGATTTTTAAAAAAATCTGATATGATTTAGAGTCCGCATGACCAGTCACGTGACCTGCTCAAGGTTGATTAGCACCTTTAAATACATATATATTTTTATTTATAATAGATCTTCTTAAAAAACTTCTAACAATGAGCTCATACAGAAGCATGAGCATGCTGTAACGAGATGATGGATAAAGATGGGGTTGGGTGACACTTTTTTTGCAGCAGACAGTATTATTCAGTTTGTGCTCAGTTTCCCTATAAGGGCAAGGAAAAAAAATCTTTCAATCAGGTAGCCACCTTTTCAGTTTCTACTTTAAAGGCTATTCTATTTTAAAATGTTCCCCAAGTAGAAACAAGACAGCAGCAGCATCCAAAATATCCTCTGTATAAACATCTATTGATTTTTTGCAGCAGCTGCCTGACACCTCTTGGCTACTGAATTTTCAGGCCCTCTGTTTGCTTATAAATTAAGGCATCATAACGGAAAGTGTTAATATTTGGACATCAGATGCTGTGGATGAAGGAATACCAAAACCTACAAGAACCATCAAACTAAAGCAGCAAATCCTGCCTCATGTTACAGATGAACAGTAACAATTCATCAGATTATCTTTTGAAATATGAAAGTGTTTTAGAATTAACAGTCTGCCATTTGTTACAGCAACTGTATTCCCAGTAAACCACTCTTATTTTTCTTATCTGTCTAGTATTTACATAAATATTTTTATATATAGACATCCATTATTTTGTAATAGCTGGGAATTTCTGCATTTTACAACATGAAGAGGAATTTTCTTATGATAAATGGGGTGCATAACCCCTGGGTCTCACAGTGAACTACCAGTGGTGTTAATAGGAGTTCTGCCTGTTCACTAACAGCATTACCATGTTCATGGCTTGCTACTCTGCCATCCATACCTTTTATAAATTCCACGTCCATTATTACAGCTGCAAAAATTCTTGTTAATAAAGTAAGTTTCTCTTCTACACTGTGCAGAAAAGTTAGATCACAACTATTTCACAGTACCTGTAACTCTCCAGTACTGTTCCTGTATCAGGCAAAAGACACCTAAAATCATGGCATAGCTGCCCTGTGCTCTTTCTGCAACACCATCACTATTCCGTCAAACCGTTCCATTTTATCTGACTAATCATGACTTAATGAAACATAGGAAACCTGCAATTAAAAGAAACAGTGGGGAGAAGAGAGATTCTGCTTCATGGTACTTAAAAGAATTGCAGTTAATAAAAAAAAATTAAAAAGGAAGAAAAAGAAAAAAAGACACCAGATCAGTAGAGAACTTAGGATGTTTGCTAACTTATCTGGTGCTTTTGCTGTATATTTTCCTATAGTGTTTACATAACTGTACAGTTGTGTCATAGTCAAAGGCACTAAAATCTAAATCCATTTTCTTCCTAATATAATATTCATTATTCACCAACTTGTTTTTAAAACAAAAGTGATTCCTATATTGAGACCATTAGAAAGGCATCTATCTCTTCTCTTTATTACAAACACTGGTTTGGTGCTTGATCCATTGAGGGCCATAGTGCCCACAACTCCCATGTAATGGGATGGGTGTTGAGGGTGGTTAGTACCTCCTGGATCTAGTACTTAAAATCTGTAATTAGACAAAATAATCCTGAAAATGTTTCCTACAATCACCGCCTCTTATGCTAGGCACAGCAGCTCCTCTTCATGCCAAAAAGCATTTTATAGATCACCTTTCAAATTCTGGCTTGGAAGTACTGGATCTGAGGCTTGGGTAATTTAACCACTTGAAAAAAGTCGTTACTTATAGGAGTGAGAAACTCTATGCTTAGCATTATTTAGAAGGCTTATGCTGAAGATGTCATTCATTTTCTAATTTAATAATACCTGAATCTGATATGTTTCGTTCCCTGTTACAACTATTAATAACAGCCAAAAACGCCTTATTCAGAAAAATGAAATCCCTAATTGTAACCCTGAAACATTACACTCTTCCTTCCATCCACAGTCACAGAAAATCTTGATTGATATAATTCAATGTTAATGAAGTAAAAATTTATAATTTTATAAAAAATCCAAGGGTTATATATGCTGCAAAAAAACTTGCAGTGACTTAATAAAAAAGTATGGGATCTTTGTAATAATTCACTTTCTCCACCGTTGCCATGATGAGCTTAGCCAATGAGAAGCATCAACATGGCAACGGAAACTATCATCATAAAATGGTACAGTAATAGAGATAGCTAGACCAAGAAGGGGCAGGGTCTCCTGGGAAGAGGTCTGCAGAGAGGTCCAGTGACTGGTCATGCGGCTCAGTGTCAGGAATAATGGTTGTATGGTGGAAGGGGGTGCCCAATGCCATTTTGGAAGTGATGATGCTGACGATGGGCAAGATACTCGGTGTAGCTCATGGTCATCTTCTCACTTCGGTACCTAAGAAGAGGTGAAGAAAAAGGAAAAAAAAATCTCAGGAAAGCATATATGAAGCCCTGAGAAATACTGAAGTCCTAGTTAGTCATGCATTTTCCATACATGTCAGATTGCCCATGAGGAGACAGACTACCTCCGTTAGGCAGATCCACAGCCAGCAAAACCCTATGGATTTCTACGGGGTTCACCTGAATCCATTCTGTTCAGCTGTCTATAGCTCCCATGTAGGTGATTTTTTCTTAAATACACAGAGATATCAGAATGCCCTACCCAGAACAGCACCCGCCTGACCAGGTGGTATTAAATCAACTTCAGTTTGTAGAATCAGAAAATGAGGGTTGGAAGGGACCTCAGGAGGTCATATATATTCCAACCCCCTGCTCAAAGCAGGACCAGCCCCAATAGATGTGGGAACCACATACAGCCCAAATTCTGTGGGACCTCCTTCTCCTCCTGCCTCTTTATTAATAGTGCCATAGTCTGGGCCAAATACGCCTTTTATGCGAGTGCAAATGCAGAACAACTCCAGTGAAATCAAGCCAGAGCAATTCTGTCCTTACAAGTACAACAGAGCAGGCTCTGGCTCTGGTTGTGCTCTAAATACTTTCTCGATAATTTAATCAATCACCAAGTTTCTTAGCAGAACACCACTGTTTGCACTTAGCTGTAAAATTTACATTTACACTTCGCTGTGAAATCAGGGTCAGGCAGTTACTGAGAGAATACTTCACCAGAGCCACCACGGGGTGGTTAGAAAGACCACGGACATAAGCAGCACAAATTTACTTGACATCGGAGTGTTTGTTAACGATGTATTTATTTACCAAATGGTGACTGGCCCTGGCTGAGAGATTATTTGTGGCTCTCTTCAGTTTGATGTGAATGAAGTACAGTGCTCGCAGTGTCAGATGGGTAAGCTGATCTGTGAATGAAATCCCCTGCTACTCCAAAACTAAACCATAAGCTTGGCAGCTAATGAAGATGCTTGAATATGGGTCAAAGCAGGCCAAGGACAGCTGAACTAAACTAAAATCACATCTGCTCATTTAACCAGGTGGAAAGAAAATGTAGCTGGTCGCTTCCTCCCAAATTTGAAACCCCTTTCTAGACAGGAGGAGAATTCCACAGAGCTCTAGTATGCAAATTCACTTGAGGCCTTTTCTTTTACAAAGAAGGCTGGACCTACTGGCATCAGTTTGAAGTGGGAATAAAAAAAAATTCACAGTTAACTGCAAAACCTGCATTCATCACCAGACTGATTGTTTTTAGGATCTCATAACGGAAGGAGAAATTGAGCCCTGTTTTTTAGTTTGGTATCAAGGAAGAAGAAAAAAGAAGCTATCCAACTACATAATCTTCATTTTTAACTTAATAAAAGGGACCGAAGCCATATTTTTAAATGTGTTTCACAAGAGTTTGTTGTTTCAGTATTGCTCTATAGCACAAAATTGGTAAGAGGTAGCTAAATTGCTAAGCACACACAACAGCAGATCAGGAAACTGAACAATAAAAACAGTCTTTTGAATGTATATTTTGATTACTTATTTTGCAGATAGAGCTAGAACAGCGATTCTCAGCCAGAGCGTGGTGGCACCATGAGTTGCCTTAAGGGCCTTTCAAGGATGCTGTACAATGTTAGCACTATTAAGTGTGCACACGTGATTCACAAGATAAACCCAGAATTGTGCTATAGGAATCCATGTGGTTAAAAACACCCTGACCTGCTGTGGGCTTTCTGAGCTCTTTGCAACAGAAGAATTGCTGCATTATTTTTTTTTGTTAAAAAAAGAGTGAAAACCAAGAGCTGGCATTTTCTGAGCAAAAAGGCTGGGAACCATTGAGCTAGTATTTCTTTACTGCTTTGGGTACTATATAGATTTAAACAATTTCAAATGAACTTAATGGATTCCTTCTTAGCCCCTTGCCCATGCAGTCAACACACAACAAAGGAGAGGAGGTGAGGATCTTCTTACGTTACTTCTCTGCAGGACTTGTTCTCTGCAAACAATGACACCTCTAGATGCTCGGGAAGCTCCTATGTCTGGGTTCCAGTATTAACTCCCCCTACCATCTTCAGTTTCCCTTCTAAGCAAAAGTAACAAGTACCAGAACTGCGATAACTGAAAAGCAGCTCTGGCACCACCGTTTGGAAATGTAATTGGATTCTGTGAACCTCATCTCCTCCCTTTATCTGTTGTCACATTTATAACTAGAGAGGACAAGTCCAGGTCTGTCCCTTCCTAAAAGAAAAAGGGAGGGACACAAACTAGGAAAAAAGGTAATTTATAAAAAACCCTTCCCTTTAAAAAGTGTGTAAAATACTTCTTAGGAAAAAAATAAGCTGTTGGGACACCCTAAAAAAGATCTGGGTTTTATGCAATGTAGCACATTCAGCTAGACCACACATGCTATTCTTGCAAGACCAGGTCCCATCAGTAATGCCTTATGAAACACACCACCTCGTGGGTGATCATGACTTATTTAACAGCTGTTCCCAGCAATCACAATCTGCTTAACTCCATACAGGAATCAGCAACTGGTAGAAGCTGAGGTTTTGGTACTACTGTTAATCCTAAACTGGCCCATAAGTGGAGGTGGAGGTGGTGGCCAACCTGCAGCACAGGAAGGGAGCAGAAAGCAGAAGAGCAGATCTAGTAGGGGTAGGGGATCACACTGGCACTCAGAAGGGCACAGGGCTTAATTTATGGCACACATGCCAAAAAGATTGGCCCCTGCTGCCATACAGCTACCCTGAACATTTCATGGAGAGAAAGTGCTCTGTTATGCCACTCATGGGAAAGGTGCTCCTCTCATTGTGTCAAGTAGATTAATGATGCTCTGTCACAGCTCTTTTGGACTGGTGCCAAGAGAAGCAAAATACTAAATGGACTATAACCTCATGCCCCTTTGATACTGAACTTCCATCCCCACCATCAGATCTCATAGGGATGAGCATAGTGGCGAGTACTGACAGGCTAATCGAAGCAGAATTTCACTATGGCATTTGGGAGGAATTCAGAACAAGCGTGTACCACCAATTCATTGTTTTGTACAAGGTGAGTCAGGCACTAAGGTCTGACATGACTTTGGTGTCAGGAAGTCACTGTTATCAGGAATAAGACTCTCCAGAGACGTGACAGCTTTCTAGTCTCCAGGAATAGGTATTTGTTACAAATAGTACTTCTGGAGAAGTGGAAGTGATTCATTTGTAATCAATAGCAGGCAACCTCCCAAATGACTAGAATGAAAGTCTCTATTTTGCAAATGATAAAATATGCCTCTGATGTGCATGTGCAAAAGCTCTGTTCAAAAACCTACTCCTATGTTATTCAATTGACAGTTCAACCACTTAGGGCAGCCTAAGGGACAAAAGGGGAGCACATAAAAAGTGGAAACAGGGAGAGATCACCTAAGATGAATATACCTCCTCTGCTCGTGCTTGTAGGGAGGCAGTTAGACGGGCCAAAGCTACCATGGAGCTGAGGATGGTTTCCCAAGTAAAAGACAACAAGAAAATGTTTTTTAGATATATAGGGAGTAAAAGGAAGGCCCAGGGAGGAATAGGACCCCTGCTAAATAGGCAGAAACAATTGGTGACGGACAGGGAGGGACAAGGCTGAACTCCCCAACGAGTTCTTTGCCTCAGTGTTCCTAAGCGAGGGGCACGACAAGTCTCTCACTGGGGTTGTAGAGAGGCAGCAGCAAGGCGCCAGACTGCCATGTGTAGACCCTGAGATGGCGCAGAGTCACTTGGAAGAACTGGATGCCTTTAAGTCGGCAGGCCCGGATGAGCTCCATCCGAGGGTGCTGAAGGCACTGGCCGACATCATTGCAGAGCCACTGGCGGGAATATTTGAAAGCTCGTGGC